CCTAATTCAGTGGGGCTGCCTGGGGTTGGACCAGCCTTGAAACTGAAAGCACAAAGACTTCATAAACTCTTAAAAATAGTGTAAATATACTGTTGCACTTTTTTGTTGATTATTATTATTACCAACATTGTTATAATTGCAGGTAATGATATTTGTTTAATCAGTGTGATGATACACTGATTCTAGTTAGTTAAGTTACTTGGAAAATGGGAACTACTTGTCCCAAATTTGGGGATAGCTAGAAAATTCTTCACTCTTCTTATACTCGCCTGTAAATAGATGTTTCAAACTATTGTTTTTCAGTATCAGAGATGGAAGGGAAAATTATACCAAAATAACCTGACCTGTAGAGATTTTAAACAGTATCCACTTGCTAAATAAATTATATCCCTCCAACTATGGATAAAGAGCATTCAACCAGAGAACCACTGTGTTAGGTAATGAATTCATTGATCCTTCCACTTACCAGCTAATTGTCACATATTCCTTCCTCCCAACCCAGTTGTAAAAACCATGATCATCTGTCCCATAAGATCACAAGGATTCTCAAGGACTATAGCAAAATGTGCCAAATAATTTATTTGGGGGTTTGTCAAGAGTAACACAGTCTTCTCCATCAGCCTTCTCTTGCCCTTGGAATGGGATTTATGCTACTGGCTCTCAGATCCTCAGGTCTTCAGACTTGGTCTAGAATTACAGCACCAACTTTCCTGGGTCTCCAGCTTGCAAATGGCAGAATTGAAACTTAACCTCCATAATCATATGAGCCAATTCTTCATAATAAATATATATGTGTGTGTGTGTATAACAAATCTATATATATATATATATAAAACAAATCATCATATAATAAATATATACATACACATATACGTGCACACCCCATTGGTTCTGTTACTCTGAAGAACATTGTCTAATACAGTAATTTTCCTTTTTTAAGAGCTTTTAAATTTTTGGAGCTTTTAAAATTTTGGAATCTTGTGTTAATTTATAGTATAGAAAAAATAATAAACATAATTTTCATACAACATAAAATATATATTAGAAGGATAATCAAATTCAGGTATTCCCTGGAGCAGGAGTTACATTTAATAAATTTATTTACAATTCAAGAAAAAATATTCTGAAAAAAAAAATTATTGGAACCCCTTCATAAGGACCGATTACAAGTCCTTGAAAATTTCTGCATCTTAAGAGCCCAGTTATTTTTAAATTATTAATGTGATTATATGTTCAAGGATTTGAATGTTTTTATTCTTGAAATTATGAATTAGAAAACAGAACTTGAGGAAGGTGTTCTGAAAAAACCTAAATGGAATATTCTTTAGTGGCCATTTCCCATTTCTTGCATTGCAGAAAATATGTGACAGTTATTGTGTTGATACACAGTTCAAATTTTTTACAGTAATCTAGGACTGTATTATTTCCAATATATTTCCAATAATACAGCCTGCAAAGTATCACCATTGGGAAGAAGTTAGCCTCACAAGTGAAAGGTTGAGATTAGACATCCATCAAGAGAAGACTGTCTAGGTCTTGGTTAATTTAAAACGTACCACGCTGGTGGTACAGTGGTTGGAAGTCCGCCTGCCAAAGCAGGCAACCCAGGTTGATCCCTTGTCCAGAAAGATTCCACACGCCTTGGGGCAACTAAGCCCTTGCACCACAACTACTGAAGTCTGAGAGCCTAAAGCCTGTGCTCTGCAAGAGAAGCCACTGCTATGAGAAGCCTAAGCGTGGCAAAGAAGAGGAGCCCCCTCTTGCTGCAACTGGAGAAAGCCTGAGAGCAGCCTTGGAAACCCAGCACAGTCAAACATAAATAAATAAACTTTTTAAACGGCATGAAAAGGGTGACAGCAGATGGAATATCTACTATTTACTTTATCACTGTAAGATGTTAGGTAACCTCGATGTTCTACCAACTCCTCAAACTTCTAAAAGAACCACGATGGATTCACTCAATTTATATTAACTTCGATAAGATTTTAAATGGGAGGAAATACATAATACCTTCAGTACTAGTGCTGATTAACACGGTAGGAGGCAAAGGAGATGATATCAATCTGAGTGACAGGAGAACCAAGGTCTCTTGGAACAAAACCCAGCAGAAGACTGGAGTCAGTTTGCACCAGCCCGAGTGAAACAACCTGGTGAAGAAGATTTGCTGGGGCTGTGAACATTGGTACAATGTCCTGTCGGACTTTGATGTCATGATGAAAAGGTAAAGGACATTCCCATTCTGACCAATGGAACTTAACAGAGAGCATGGAGTTAGGGCCACATGTGTCAGATGTTAGTATGTGATTAAGGAGACATCACAAATCATTGAAGACAGGATTGTTTGTTTATTAGCTTTGGAAAGAGAAAAAATTGGATCCTTACCTAATTTACATATAAATATGAACTCTATTATGGAAGTGTTAAATATGTAAATGTGAGGGTAAAACTATAAAGTTCACAGAAAAGAGTATCAATGTATATATTTGTGATCCAGAGGTGGGGGAACACTCTTAAATAAAACTTCAAAAGCACACAACATAAGGCAGAAGATGGCGAATTTTATGAAAATTAAGAATCTATTTTCAAATAGAGAACGGGAAAAAACAATGTCTAAAATATGGCAAGGAATTAATATTTCAAATATACAAGGAGTATATGAGTCATTTAGGAAAAGACAACAACCTCAGTAGAAAAATGGGTGAAGGGGTAGAAAAAATAGTTTACAGACAACACACATTAAGTAACAAGCTTGCTTATTGAGATGCACAAATCATTAGCAACCAGAAAAATGCAGATAAGCAGTTACATTACATGCATTAGACCAGAAAAAAATGGCACCTGCATCATGCCATGTGTATCAAAGGTGGGACCTCGCTGGGGTGCGCTGTCTGAGTTTCACAGTGAAGTGTCACGCTACTCTCCGGAGCGCAGCCCAGCCCACGCCCGGGCCATTGTCTTGGCATAGCCAGCTCTCTGTTTCCCAGTCTAAGGTCATTGTTATTGCCATTTACTCGCTCAGTCGTGTCTGACTCTTTCATGATCCCATGGACTGTAGCCCGCCAGGCTCCTCTGTCCACCAGATTTCCCAGGTAAGAATCCTAGAGCAGGTTGCCATTTCCTTCTCCAGGGGATCTTCCTGACCCGGGGATCAAATCCACGTCTCCTGCATTGGCAGACGGGTTCTTTACCACTGAGTTACTTAGGGAGGCTTTTCCAGTCTAACAACTTCCATCAAAAAATAATTTTGCTTCAAGTACACAGATTAATGTCCTAATAAAACTAAATATTTTATTGCAGGGTTGCTCTCACAGGACATAGTGACAATCTCTGTTATCTCTTTGGTTGTTGTTATAAAAAAAAGAAAACCTCCCTAGTTAGAAATAACTTTTGTAGATACAGTTTTTGTTCTGCTATTCTTGCAGCTGCAGGAGAGACGGGACATTTCTATTTCTTATCTTGAGGAAACTTCTTTCTCCAGAAATTAGTAGGGCCTAAGTCTTCAAGGCTCAGTGCTAGAAACACACTGCTCTACACTGAAAGAGATGCAGTCCTGAGAGAAAAAGAAATCATATAGAAAAAAAAAAGGTCAGAATAGGATTATTAACAGATAGAATATGGAACACATACAGACAGAATATGGAATGTCCTTTGGACAGCAGATCAAACTCCTTTAATCAATCCTTTTATCAAAGGAGATCAAACTAGTCCATCCTAAAGGAAATCAACCCTGAATATTCATTGGAAAGACTGATGCTGAAGCTGAAGCTCCATACTTTGGCCATCTGCTGCAAACAGCTGACTCAGTGGAAAAGACCCTGATGCTGGGAAAGACTGAGGGCAGAAGGACAAGGGGGCCGCAGAGGATGAGACGGTTGAATGGCATCACAGACTCAATGGACACAAGTGTGAGCAAACTCCAAGTGATAGTGAAGGACAGAAAAGCTTGGCATGCTGCAGTCCATGGAGTCCCTAAGAGTCGGACACGACTTATAGACTGAACAGCAACAGGCATGGAATATGGAACGTGAAGATTACCTGCACCCATTCCCTTTTACTTTCCATTGGAATTTTGCTTGTGATTCTGCCACATTTACCAATTTTTATTTTATCATACTCTCTGTAATTCATGTGCATTATTTATGTGTATGTATGTGTTTCCATATTTAGTATTGATATGATTCACAGAGTCACTCGTAATTCCTGTGCCCCTGACATAAGAGACAGTTTTCCTCAATAGGAAGTAACTGCTGCTGGCTTCCCTGGGTTGAGAAAGGACCAGGAAGGGAAAATGACTTCCTCTCAAGGACACGAATCACATCCAACGCAAACAAAGCCGCCTGGCTCTGAATTTTTATGTTGTCACTATTCCTCCACTTCTTGACATGTTCGTTCCTGGGAACTTCTATAAGGCAAGGAAACTAGAGTGAGGGGAAGGAGCACTGGAGGCGGTTCTGGATGTACAGACAGAAACTGGTTCATAGTTGGACTTGCAGGTGCTGCTACTAGAAGGGCAAGGTGGCAGTTTCTGAAGCAGGATTCCAGCGTCCAGTCCTCCCGTGACTGTGTCCCTGACCCCACGCAGAGAGCACCGAGGACAAGCTGGGCAACTAGACCGGGGACAGAGGAGGTGGCAGGACACAGCTGCAGGGAGGGAGAAGGCCTGGACTGAGAAGGGCCTGGAGACGGCCCTGGGGGAACCAGAGGGGCCTGGAGAGGGAGCAGGTCTGATTAGGGGAAGGCTGGACAGGGGGTCTGTCCTGAATGATGCTAAGGGTGTGTCCTGGAGCCAAACACACAGGCACAGGCTCAGCTTCACGTGGCTGTCCTGCCATCAGTCCGGAACCAACAGGCTGTCCTCATACCAAGAATGACAGTCTCAGTATTCCATCTCTTAAGCATTTATTAGATCCACTGCCTTCTGTGGACAGAGAACTCTCTAGCTCAGGGTCCCCGCCCTTGGGGAATCACAGCCCCCTCTCCTGAGCAGAGAGAGAGGCAGCTCAGTACTTGTCAGGCAGGCCAGGAGGTCTGAAGTGGTTGGGGTCTTTGCCGCTCCGGCCCCACTCGTTGGCAAACTGGTCAGCCTTCGAGTCCTCCCGCCCCTTGCCACTGGACGCACCCTTAAGCAGAGGGTCTGTGATTCTCTGAATACCTTCTCTGGCGTTACTGGAAAGGAAGAGGGCAGGGAGGGGATTAATCCAGGACTATGAGCCACAGCCCCACCCTCCCCATCTCTCCTCTTTCCAAGGGATCAGTGACTCTGAGAGGAGCCCAGGAAAGAGGGGCTACAACCCTGAGGCTCCCTGGGCTCAGCCCACCTCAGCCCTGCGCTGGGTGAACACACCCATAGCGAGAGGGTGGAGAGTCACCTGTCCCACCAAGTTTGCTCTGCTCCTCAGCCACCCAGACCTCACACTGGACGCAGAGCAGGAGGGTGGGTAAGAGGAAGGGGGCCCACAGCCCTACAGGAAAGTTCTCCAGGGCTCAGCCCCTCCAGGTTGTCCAAGGTAGCCAAGCTCTGCCCACCCATCTCTGCATTCCCAGGGACCCTGGTACCTGATCACTTTAGCAGCCCAGGCACCCCCTGGTCCCCTTTGGGCAGCGTCATAGTTTCCGCGGGCGTGGAAATACTTGTCTGCACCTTTGTAGTTCGCTTCTCTCATGTCAGAGTAGGCTCTCCTCATGTCTTTAGCCCCTGAGAGGAAAAGAAAATGATAAGATGAATATGATCATGTTTTGGTGAAAGAGAGAAATTAATAATTTCCTGCCACTGAATCCAAGTTTCAACCTTTGACTAAGCCCTTGGAGATTATTATATTGGCTTGAAATGAATACTTCTTTACTTCTCACTTACTTCCCTGTCTGAAATTGTGAGTACACACTTGGTGCAAATTTTATTCTGTTTGGTTTCATTCTAAGTCTGTTGGAACTTTGTTTCTGGAGGTGTGTGATGTGTGTGAAGAAGAGGTCAGTGCTCTTTCTTTAAGGAATGTTTGCTTATACAATGAAGCTCCACCTGGAGAGATGCAGGAAAGAATCTGACCAGAGCTTGAGAAGAAGAACGATATGAGAAAAGCTGTGGATATAGGATACTCCCAGCCTGGTTAAGAGAAGAAATCCAGCCCTGGGGACTAACTCGGGCCTGAGTACATCTGAATACTGAGGGCATGTTTGCACATGGGCAACCATCAGAATTAAATCAGCAGATGATAAAGGTGAGCTCTCTAAGAGGGCTTTGATGAAACAGGGTAATCAGAATCAGAAAAAGGGCAACTGAACCACCAGCTCTAAAGTTCAGTGTCCTCTCCAGTAAAATGGAGGAGTAATGCTTCTCTCAGGGTGGTTAAGCAGAAGAAATGAGGAAATACAGGTTGAGTTTATAGAACATTGTAGGTGCTCACTATACCATCACCTCACTGGTCCTTAGACGAGTAGGGCAAAAAAATAAATAAATAAAGTAGGATGAAGATCAGGGAGGCATGGGCAGAGAACCCAACCTAGACAGAATGAAATGGCAAAGGTTTCAAAGATTAGCGCATTAGGGAAAAGAGGAAAATATAACGTGATTATAATCATAATTTATGTAATAGCTCTGTGAGATAACTTGTCTTTATTTTAGGTATTAGCTATTTCCACTGTTCAGAAACATAGTTTTGTTGAGGGCTATGATATTCTTACTATAGCCATTCACCCAGAGTTACAGACTTAAATAGGCCCTGGAGCCTAGAGCTGTGTAATAAGTGCTTCCAAATGCACGGCATATTCGTCCCTTGGGTGCAAAACCAGGTAGTGGTTCTCAATATATATTCTGTGCAAAATCAAGCGGGGTGCTTAATAATGGACAGGTTTGCAGAGAGCCCCAGGGATTGTGGTTCAGGGAAGGGACTGTGTGTGGATCCAGACACCTGCATTCCACAAAGCACCCAGACCACGGGTGATTCTCATGCAAGTCATCCTAGAGTGTCCCTTGAGCAACACTGACCTAGGAGATGAAAAGATATTTTTATCTGGGCCTGTGTGAATTTAGATAGAATGAAGAACAAACTCTTAAAACAATTATTCAGCAATTATCACAGAAAAATAAGAACACCAAATAGTTTTGGGAAATAAATAATAGCCAGTTTGCTCTGGCTAGTGAGGTCTATGTCTCTTGCTATAGGATTCTCACCAGGTCTCAGCGTCAGCAGAACCATCATCAAGAAAACTCATGCTCCCATTTACTGTGGGGAGGGGAACTCTATCCGGTTTCCTTCCAGAGGCACCAACCCCCACTCTCTGCCATCTACTCAGATAAAGAGCAGGATGCGTGTTCACAGACTCCTCACTCTCCACGTGTACTCTTGTCTGGGAAGCAGTAGAAGGGCCGAGGTTAACAGCAGGGTCTCAGGATGCTGGGTTCAATCCTGCTCTGCGGGAGGACATTGGAACCTATCTTAATCTCTTGGGGCAGCAGGTTCTCTGATAAAGGGTAATGGTCCCTACATTGCAGGACTCCAGGATTAAACCTTGAGGAGGAAAACGAGTCGATTCCTGCACATAAAGTTCTCAGACAGTCCTGACCAGCTACTAAAATTCAGGTATTTTAGTTAAAAGTATTCAGCGGTTGCACCCACTTCTTGGCTACAGGAGACTTGGAAATGAGCCTTCTCTAGTTGCCCACGAGGGGGCAGCAGAGCCCTGCTGGTATTTTGGGAACACGCACCCCGCCCCCCAGATGTCTTCCTCACTCCTGCTGAAAGTTGGGGCCCAAACTTTATGGGACCTCAGGCTTGGGGATCCCCGAAAAGAGTGCAAAGCTGCCAGAACAGCCTCGGGAAGTGCTACCATGCAAACCAAGCTCCTTTTCTGCCCACTGATGGCCTTCGCCCTGTGGGGATGTGTCCTCTGCTCAGGTGGATCCTGGGGAAGCAGACACAGCCTCCCCTGGCCCATCCTTTGGTCCTTACCTTGACCAGCTTCCTTTAGGAATGTCCCCCATCTCTGGCTGCTGACGCCCAGGATCAGGAAGCAGAAAATGATGCCCGTGGAAAGGTTCATCCTGCAACAGAGAGATGAGTGGACTCAACCAAGAATGACAGGTCTTGAGGTTGAGTTGTAATGTGGACACACTCTTACATTCCAAACGTAAATCTCTCTGAATTTTATCTCGATAGATAGATAGACGATAGGTTGTAACACAGAGGATCCAGCTCTCATTTCCACTGAATCCTGGGAATCCAGTGATTTCCAGCGTGAAGGATTGCAACGGGCTTTTAGCATAAACCACTTTCCAGTCCCCTCATCCTCTATCAGCCAGAAACCCAGCTGCACTGCAAGTTCCCCAGAGGCACGAGGAGTGAGTTCATGCTGCCTGTCTGTGATGTGAGACGAGGTGAATGAGGCACAGGTGTCTGTGGCCGCGTGCTCACCCCATCACTGCCTTCACAGAAGAAGCAGACAAGGAGAGCCCTACCCCCTGAAGTGGTCATGCCTAGCGGATTCTAATGGTCAGAATGAATAGTAGATTCAGGAAGGAAGCAGAGAGCTGGGCTGCAGCACAAGAATGCTGGTGAAGAGAAAGTCTCCGCAGAGGAAAAGTGCTGGAGAGTTCTACCTCCTCACCTTTGGCCGTGCCCTCCTGCTGAGGCTGCTGGTGAAGCTGCGCCGCCAGTGCTGCCTGCCTGGGAGACGGGGCCGGTGCTTTATATACTGACACTTGGCCAGGGGAGCAAATGAGAAATGGGGTGGAAGCAAAAAAAGAAAGAAGGGAAGAAAGTTTGGGAAATCCCTCCTGACCAGAACACAGCATTGAAAACAGCAGTGTTATTCTTCACTCACATCTAATTTTCCTAGATTGTGCAATCTGGCAGTTTTCAGAATGCAGCATGTTGGACCTTTGCTTTCCATTTCAAGTCTCATTCCAGTGGCAAATGTGTTTTCACCCCCCACAGTAGTGTACTGACATTTGCTGTGAAGGGTGTGTGTGCTTAGGTGCTCAGTTGTATCTGACTCTTTGGGACCCCATGGACTGTAACCCACCAGGCCCTCTCTCCATGGGATTCTCCAGGTGAGAATACTGGAGTGGGTAGCCATTGCCTTCTCCAGGGGAGCTTCTTGACCCAGGGATTGAACCAACCTGGGTCTCTTGCACTGCAAGTGGATTCTTTACCACCTGAGCCACTTGGGAGTTCCAAAGAGTAACATTAGAAAAAGAGAGTTGAGTAAAGAATGTGAGCATACAGCACAAACGGAACAGCAGAAGGGTCCATTACAAGGAACAGCTCAGGATGAAGCTGGGACCTCAGGGTACAGCAGAAGGAAAGGAAGGAGACAGAAACTCAGGAAAATCAAACTTCCAGCACCCACATGGGGTGGATTCAGCACTGGAAAAGGGAGTCTTCCAGCTTCAAGTGTATTCATGATCAGATGCTGTTGATGGTCATAACAGTAAATCATATTGAGAGGTCATTGTAATCCCGGGAAGGATGAACTATAGTGTAGAAATCTCCTGTGATACTGTATAGAAATGACACCATAAAAATGAACAGGAAAAGTCCAGATGTCTGTTAAATTATAAGCATAGATGGTTCAGGAAGGATACAGAGAAAGCTGATTTATCACAAGAATGCTGGAGGGTGTGATGTCAGAGAATAGCTGTTTCAATCAGAAAAGCAGGACTGGGCTTTATTCTGTGAGTTCAGGAAGATAATCTTGGGAGGAAATTTCATGCAGGTGCTCTCACAGGGATGGCGTCTCTGATGAACTCCTTGCCCCATCTCTGCCTCTTCATCCCAAAGGGAAATTTCAAAGGTCACTGGATTTCCCAGAGGAGAAGGGATGATGCGTGTGTGATATGTCAGAGACGGTGGGGACCCAGAGGACATACTGCTCTTCCTGATGGTGGGACCCTGGGTTGGAAGCCTGAGGACGGCAGGAGGCCAAGTGAGGCCCAGTCCAGGAGCCCCACCTCAGGATTCTTCCCTGGAGTGTTCACAGGAGAGCAGGAATGTGAGCCGTGCATTGGAGACACAGGGGAGCGATCTCCAAGACAGATGCAAGCGAAGCACGGAGACTTGCGAACTGAGACGAGGGGAGATGGTAAATCAGAGTCTAGAAGGGCATGGGGCTTGTGCCCAGGTAGTAATCCCGAGACGAAGGAGAAGGAGGCCGAAGAATCGCCAATCTGTTACCAGACTCAGGGATCATGAGCAGGACATTAGAAGGAGGAGCACTGGCCCGGGAGGAAGCACAGCAGGAGAGGGTGACCCTGTGGTCTGGGAACCACGGTCTTAGATTTGTGGTTGTTGCTTCGTAACCGAGTCCGTGTGGGACTCTTCAGTGACTCCACGGGCTGCATCCCTCAGGCTCCTCTGTCTGGGCTTTTCCAGGGAAGAGTGCAGGAGAGGGTGGACATTCCCTTCTCCAGCGGATCTTCCCGACCCAGGATCGAACCCACGTCTCCTGCATTGCAGGCGGATTCTCTACCGCTGAGCCACCTGGGAAGCCCTGTCTTAGATTGAAAGTGAAAGTGAAAGTGAAGTCGCTCAGTCGGTCCGACTCTTTGCAACCCCATGGACTATAGCCCACCAGGCTCCCCCCGTCCATGGCATTCTCCAGGCAAGAATACCGGAGTGGGTTGCCATTTCCTTCTCCAGGGGATCTTCCCGACCCAGGGATCAAACCCAGGTTTCTGCATTGCAGGCAGATGCCTTAACCTCTGAGCCAGGATGATGCCTCTTTCTGGGTCTGGGACATGTTTTATTTCCTGTAGGTGTAATGTGGTGAACATGTAGGACAGATAACTATCTAAAGGATTTCTCTGTCTGTCTGGTTTTTATCCAAGGCAAAGCTAAGCAATATTTAAATATTCTCAACAGAACTTACACTCCTTGGGAAAGTTGGGGTTCCCTGAGGTCGGGGTAGTCTAGGTCCCTGAGCTGGCTTAGCTGACTTGGTCCCAGGAGTAGACATGGTGGGGAGAGGGGATGTTGTCAACCGTCTACAGTCATCGGCCCTGAACTTGCCCTGGGGCTGCTCCAAAGCGGGTTGTGATGTCCACATCCCTTCTTCTACCTTCCTCAGGGCAGAAATCATGGGCCAGTGATCACATTCTTTTGCAACTCTTGATTGTTTGGAGCCATTTGATACTGGAATTCCACTTCCCACTTTCTTGCATCATTCCAGTCATTTCTTATTTGATAGAATCATTAGAGACAAAGCAAGTACAATTTCTAAACACCAAGGCAAGCATTGCAAGTTCATTTTCTTGTTAACTTAAGGCACTCAGACTTCTGGAAGGAGCACCCAGTTCCTTGCAGGGCCATGCTTAGAACAATGGGCGACAGTAGTGGTCAGCTCTTTTTACTTGTTTCTCCTGCAATAGAAAACTGTCCTGTTACGGTGATTCCAGAGTCTTCAGGCCTTAATGGGATTTCCCAGGAGTCTTCCATGAGAAGCTGTGTCTTGGTTTGCAGAGATGGTCTTTGTTGGTGCCTCTCGTCCCAGATTAAGAGTTAAATAGTGAGAGACAATTAGCAAATTGTTTTATTTTTGGAATAGACCTGGTTTATATAATAAATTAGAAGGTACCCCTCCCCTAATAGCCATGTGTGATAAGACTACTGAGAGGTTTAAGAGACCTTCATTTACTGTTATAATTAAGTGGAAGAGAAGAACACCAAAGCTTTGCAACAAAAAACAAAACCCCGTAGGACACCCTGATCATGAATAACACTTGAGGCCTAGGTCCCAAAGTTTATGATATAGGAAAAACACCTGTATTTGTTGCAGCTTCAGGAGAAGAGAGGATAGTCTCTCCTCACACTGGCAGCGCTTCTTTCACCAGCAGTTGGGAAGACATGTAGTTTCTCTAAAGCCATACCCTGGAATTCTACTAGATAGCACCCAGAGAGAGAGAGAGAGAGGCCTGTGAAGTCCCCAGTTTACCAAAAGGAGAAGAAGCACAGCTTTAGGACCAGAAAGGCTGGCTTCCCTCCTCTTCATCTTTCAGTTCACCAGGGAGATTAAAAGAAAATAGCACTGAAGAAATTATTAATGCCGTGTACATTGTTGATTATGTGGCTGCATGTTTTTATTTTTTCTCAAAAAAAGAAAAGACACATGAGCGTGGAATCGACACATCAGAAGAAGGAAACACTGCACAGCTGCTCTGAGCTTCCTGAGGATCCCTGTTTATCTGGTAGAAGGCAGCAACACCTGATTCTGAGGTGACCTGCTAGGAGGGGGTCATCTCTGCTCTGGGGGGGCTCCTCACTCTGCCCTGGAGTGTAGGAAAACAGCCTCCGCTGACTGCTGGCTGTTGTCATAAGGAAAGACCGACTTCCTAGAATCACACACAAATCTGACGCCAGTCACTCCAAACCTGGAAACAACCATCTAAGAGACCAGATCCACCACGTTTCTCCTCTCAGCAAACTGCTGGCAACTCACAGGTAAGACAACACCCACAGTTCATGCGTGTACACCCAGTGACTTCTGGCAGAAGCTGCAACGGTCAACACCAACAATAGCTACAACACAACACAACATGAAACCCTTTGCAGTGACTCTAGTATTTCTCAGCATAAAAGGTCTTCAGCAGCATTATTCTGAGTTGATTAGAACAAGTTCGCAGAGGTAGACTGTCCACACAGACCCAAGTGAGTGAGATTAATCTGAATTCCTCTTTCCCGGTTCAAAGTTAAACTTAATATAGAGCCTCAGATCTCCATTTAATCAACTCACAGTGGCACATCATTTGCTAATTTAGATTAGCACGGATTAGAAGGAACAGCCTCAAACTTTGAGTAAGCACCTTTTTGTTGTTACTCTTGTTGCAAAGAGACATAGATGTCTTTAGGAAGTTAGTTGATTATTAAATAAGCAAAAGTGGCTATCACAGATCTCTTCTCCCCAGTATCCCCTACTAAGGACAGTGGTTTTCCAGGACAGTCTGCTAAAATCTCAGGGGACAGTTAATAGTATATTACAAAGGTTGGTGTAGAAAACTAATCAAGAGTAAAGATATACAGCTCATTTTAAAGAAGTAGAGTAACTTG